TTTCTACATGCTTAATAATAGCAGTGGTCTTCCCAACAGCTGCCATCCCATCTCTCACAGCTGGGGAGCTGCTCCTCAGTTAGTAAGTAAAGGTAAAGGGACCCCTGACCATTAGGCCCTGTCATGGCCGACTCTGGGGTTGCGGCGCTCATCTCGCTTTATTGGCTGAGGGAGCCGGCGTACAGCTTCCAGGTCATGTGGCCAGCATGACTAAGCCGCTTCTGGCGAACCAGAGCAGCGCACAGAAACACAGTTTCCTTCCCACCTATTTATCTACTTGCACTTTGACTTGCTTTTGAACTGCTAGGTTGGGAGGAGCAGGGACCGAGCAATGGGAGCTCACCACGTCGCGGGGATTCGAACCACCGACCTTCTGATCAGCAAGTCCTAGGCTCTGTGGTTTAACCCACAGTCCCAGTAGCCTTCCTTATATCTTGAAGTAGAGGGTTTTCATGATGAGTTGTGCGAACAAGGACTGCCTTTCGTCTGCTAAAGACCTGTTGTCCATTAACTCCATTAGGTGTCTTCTTCTTTTAGCCTGCCACCCGTAACCTTTCTATCAACAGATGACAGATCTAGAGGATTCTATAAAATGCACGATCCCATTTCACAGATCTCAGGAGTCTCTTCTTCTTTTCTTCTCTCTCCTCAGGTGCCGATGGGACGCACCACTTTCTTCCACCTCTCCATTTGGGGCTTCCTGATTGCCTGCTCCTTTCTGCAAGGTACATCCCAACTGGGCTCCTCAAACCTGGACTGGGAGAAGCCAAGCAGATAGCAACCATTAGGAGAAAAGGCATGGCTCATGAGGCAAATCCTAGTAATAGAGATTTCAAACATCAATCAGAGGACGAAACGGGGGCATTATATGTTTTTGTGACCAATGTCACATACTGATGTAAGCTTTATTGTCCTAAGCTCATAGGACTTAAGTTGTAAAATTTCTCCTTAGTTCATCAACAGTGGAACCAAACTTATCTTTAACCTATTGTCTATTTGTTGGAGAGATCCTTAACTGAATTTCAGAGGGGAATAGAGAGAAATTATATGCCCTCTTTATTTTCATTTCTGGACAATATGGGAAAAGCTCTTTTATCTTTCCCCTCACCCAGCTTACCTCCCGTGCGTGCTGCATCCACCTCTCTCCTGCATCTTCTTCCCTAAGTGCCATTTTGCTCAAATCCTTGCTTCTCAATCACAGCAGATATTAGATCCCCCTTCCCACAAGTTCTCAGCAACCTTGAGATTGTGCCTGCCACACAGCCTTTCAGGTCTCACCCCTAGGTCCTGGGTGAGGCCCCTCTCCACTTCCTGCAAATAGTCCGGATTCTGACCCACCCACCTCCTCCACAACCTTGACATTGTGTTCCCTCTCCTCCGACAGGCACAGAAGCACTTAGCTGCCCCCAGGACTGGATCAACTTTCAGTGGAATTGCTATTCATATAGGCAAACTGCACGGAGTTGGAATGATGCGGAGGTAAGGAGAGATTCTTGGAAGCCCTTTGTAGCAAATTCCTCCAGACACCATGTTTCCAGTCAAATGTCAAACACCCACCCACCCTTCCTCTCCTCCCTGGCAAGCAACTCACAGCAAATGAAGCATAGTCTTGGGATACAAAGTTATCCCTGCATATGTCACATGGCAGGTTAAAAGAATAATGAAAGAAAGATGATGACGCTGCTAAAAAGGTGAAAGATACTCGGAGTCGAGTGTGGATTTCATGCTCTTTATTCGGCTCATAGTAGTGAGGAATGGGAGTTCCCCCGAAATGTCTGCTTTATATACATTATTTACACAATGGGCCCCACATGATTGGCTAATTCTGGGATTCTCCTGTAGGGCAATCAGGTTGCGAATTCACTTCCACCTGGAGCTGGATTGGGTGGCTCCTGTGGACCAATCAGACTGCTGCATTCTGGATCTTATTGTTCTAGAACCAGTCAGACTGCTGCATTCTGAATCCTATTGTTCTAGGACCAATCAGACTGCTGCAATCGTGATCCTATTGTTCTAGGACCAATCAGACTGCTGCATTCTGAATGCTATTGTTCTAGAACCAATCCGATTGCCTCATTCTGAATCCTATTCAACTCAGTACATAACAAAAGGAATATATAAAACTGGTTTCTCAATGAAGAGTAGATACCAGTTGATTATTTTCCTTCTGAATCGGAAGATAAGGCTCACATCCGCACCACATTTAAAACACTCCTTTATCATATTGACAATTCTAGATAATCCTGGGAACTGTGGTTTGATAAGGATGCTGGGAATTGGAGCTCCGTGACATCAGCACTCTTAACAAACTACATTTCCCAGGGTTCTCTGCAGGCAGCCATGACTGTCTTAAGTGTGCTTTAACGAGTGCAGCAAAATCAGAAGCCCACTGAATCGATCCTACTGTGTGCCATGGATGCCACAGAAAGGCAAGCACATCAAATCCATCTTTATTTCTTCAATTCCTGCCTGAATGAGGATAGACATGTGTGTGGACAGGATTATATGCTTCCTCCATTGATATTCCTCTGGACCAAGCGCAAGGGTAGCCCCACATAGAGCACATTGCAGCAATCCAGCCTTGAAGTTGCCAACACATGAAGTTCTCCATCCAAATGATGTCCACAAAGGTGGCTGCACAGTACACAAAGAAGATATTAGTGGGGGGAAATGTGCAAACTTGAATCATGTTAGGGGAAATTGCTTGCAAAAATGTGTATCTAAGTGGAAAGTCTTATCGATGAATTTCCATGAGGAATTCGTTTTTAATCAATAAATCAATCAATCAGTCGCAAAATGATGTGGACATCTGATGGGGCTAAACTTAACGTTGGAAAAATGAGAAATTGGGGTGCCTTCTTTGAGAGAAGCAGAACCAATCACTGTATTGATCACACTGCTTTGTATATCCCTGGCACCTGGTACTGCAGATCCATCCTTGGTTGTGAGGTCATGGTGATCTACACAAAAATGTTACAGCTGTGCTGTGGTCCTTGCACAATCCTGCATGGGAAATCTTACAGGAGCCGCTCAATGCAAACAAGCAGCTTACGCTCACCTCCAGGGTAAAACCCCTTATTCTTTTTCTCTACCAGGCGGACTGCCAAATGTTTGGGCAAAAAAGCCACCTGGCCTCCATCCTTAGCGAGGAAGAGCACAGACGTATAGCCTCTGCGATAACAGGGGCATATGAGATCAAAGGCCCTGTCTGGATTGGACTGTTCAGAAAGAAAAAGGCCCGGAAGGTAAGTAAAGGAGGCAAACTCTCTTTTTCATTTGCCTCTCAGTAGGAACAGCAGCCGGCAAGGGCACAGAGGAGCAGTCCAGAAGACGAGAGCTCCCTGGAGGGAAGTGAAGGGCAGATATTCCCATCTCTGTAAGGGAGGATCTGGGGCTCTGGTGAAGCTCTTAATTCAAAGAGTAGCCATCTGCCTGCATCCCCAGGATGCAACACAGGTCCCTCTCGCAATATTACTTTAATAAGGTTTTAAATCAGCAAAGTTGATATGCCCCTTAGCCTTGGAGCAATACAGTGGTACCTCGGGTTAAGCACTTAATTCGTTTCGGAGGTCCGTTGTTAACCTGAAACTATTCTTAACCTGAAGCACAACTTTAGCTAATGGGGCCTCCTGCTGCCGCCGCACGATTTCTGTTCTCAGCCTGAAGCAGAGTTCTTAACCCGAGGTACTATTTCTGGGTTAGCGGAGTCTGTAACCTGAAGCGTATGTAACCCGAGATACCACTGTATTTGACTATCCAGTTGGAAAGGAGGACATACCGTCTTTTCTACCATTAACACTTCTGCAGAGTAGAGGGATGTAGCAGGTGCATTTCTTGTGCTGGGTGATGGGGAACAGCTGATCCTGGCTAGATCTCCCCCAAGCAGTACAAGTCCTTGGGATTTGATCCCACCAGCTGAAAATCAATTCACTGACAGCCTTGCTCTAAAATCACACTGGGGAGAAGAGCTGAAGGTTGGGGGCAGGGGCGTAGGAAGGGTGATGGGGAACAGCTGATCCTTCCTAGATCTCCCCCATCCACTACAAGTCTGAGAGGTCCAACCGCCTCATCTTCCTTGGGATTTGATCCCACCAGCTGAAAATCAATTCACTGACAGCCTTGCTGTAAAATCACACTGGGGAGAAGAGCTGAAGGTTGGGGGCAGAGGTGTAGGAAGGGTGATGGGGAACAGCTGATCCTTCCTAGATCTCCCCCATCCACTACAAGTCTGAGAGGTCCAACCGCCTCATCTTCCTTGGGATTTGTTCCCATCCCTCCAGCTGAAAACCAGACACTGTATTTTCATGAGCCGCTTACTGCAGAAGGGAGACTGACCTCACGTTGGGACATCCCTTCCTCAGTCCAGACCCCAACTCTTTTTGCTGTGGTGCTGTGGGTTAAACCACAGAGCCTAGGGCTTGCTGATCGGAAGGTCAGCGGTTCGAATCCCCACGACGGGGTGAGCTCCCATTGCTCAGTCCCTGCTCCTGCCAACCTAGCAGTTCAAAAGCATGTCAAAGTGGAAGTACATAAATAGGTACCGCTCCGGCGGGAAGGTAAACGGCGTTTCCGTGCGCTGCTCTGGTTCGCCAGAAGCAGCTTCGTCATGCTGGCCGCATGACCCGCAAGCTGTACGCCGGCTCCCTCAGCCAGTAAAGTGAGATGAGCGCCACAACCCCAGAGTCGGCCATGACTGAACCTAATGGTCAGAGGTCCCTTTACCTTTACAGAATATACAGTGGGAATGGACCGATAATGCCGTGTTCGGCTACATGAATTGGGGACCTGGACAACCCTCCAACAGCAAAAATGACGAACACTGTGTCGAGATGTATGGTGAAGGTGAGGAGGGGGGCTTCACAAGTTGTAAAGATTGTGCTTAATGGGTTTAATTTGTTGGAAGCCACCCAGAATGGCTGGGGCAACCCAGTCAGATGAGTGGCATATAAATATATTACAGTGGTACCTCAGTTTATGAACTTAATCCGTTCCAGAAGTCCATTCTTCAACCAAACCCGGTTTTGCACAGTTTGTAAACGGAATCGTTCTTAAACCAGACTGTTCTTAAACCAAGGTACCACTGTATTATTATTATTATTATTATTATTATTATTATTATTAGATGGGGCCCTTTGGTCAGAGGTGGGGAATTGGCTCAGACTTGTGGATGAGATGCTCACTTCACCTCACCCCTCCATGGTCCAACATTTGACAGGGTTGTACATCAGGGCTAGTAGAGGTGGACATGGCTTGGCCAACATTGCCTTGTGGGCCAAATGGCGGGTCAAATCTGGCTTGCAGTCCAAGGCTTCTCCACATCTGCCGCAGGTGGTCTTCATCCGATTCCTTCTGTCTCCTGGAACCCTCAGTGCAGGACAGCAGTATATTGTCCTCTGTGGGGTGGGGAATCTTCACCCTTTCTCCTGTCACTGGGTGAAAAGTATTCAAGGCCCCCCCCCCGCTGCCTTTCACCAAAACAGCCAGCTTGGGCTGGCAGGGGCAGTGGCGTGCAGGGCAGCCCAAGCCCAAGCTGCTGGTGACCCAAGCAGAGGAAGAACCCCAGCTCCTACCTGATCTTTGCTGCAACAACCTCACTCTGCTGTGGCACTTCCACTTCTGGGGCACAGGGCCCTCCCAAGCATGTGTGTGCCCCCAAAAAACCTCTAACCCGCCCCCAGGAAACAAACAAACAAAAACATTTCCTTTAAAATGGAAAAATCTGCCCGGATGGGCATGTGTCCCCCCCCCCAAAAGAGGACATGTCCTGGGTTTCCCAGATGTATGGCAACCAGGGTTTCCCAGATGTTTTCTCTCTCCTCTAGAACAACTCACAGGCATGTCCGAAGTCCGTGTTGGGGGCCTAATTCAGCCCGCTGGTCAGTTTAATCCGGCCGCTGTGGCGGTTTGTTTCCTGGTGTAAAATATCAAAAAACATCAACAACTTCCATCCTAAAAAATGCTCAAGAATTTCAACCCTAAGAAAACTCAACAACATCAATCTTTAAAAAAACCTTTGGGGTAAAATCCTTAAAAAAAAGGTCAATAACTTTGGTTGGCCCTTTGGTCGGCCCTCACGGCCCTTCACTTCATCAAATCTGGCCCTCTTTGAAAAAAGTTTGGACACCACTGGAAGGGACACCATGAGGTTTGTATGAAACAAAGATTAAAGTTTCCTTAAAGATAAGTGAAAGGTTCTTGGTTACTAGCATAGAAGCAGCGACCCTATGGAGGAAAAGTTCAGTACATGTGAACATAAGAAAATGCGGTTGGGTCAGGCCAATGGCCTATCTAGTCAAATCCACAAGGACAGGGGAGTCCGACAGGGATGTCTCCTAGCACCCTTTCCGCCCAATTTTGATATAAATGATATTGTTCAAGAACTAAGAGGTCTAGAATATTTTCCTGTTTCTGTTGAGGATGTCAAACTCGCAGTTCTTTTGTATGCCGACGGTACTGTTTTGATTTCTGCTACCTTACTTGGGATGTGGAGACTTTGGGGGAAGTTGAATGTCTTTTGCACAAAAGAGCAGTTGACAGTCAACCATTCTAAACCTAAAGTGGGGATTTGGGGAAGAGGAGAAAACCTCAAAGATAGCTCAAATATGAACGCTTCTGGTTGCGCACGCGTCGGATTACGAGCTGCGCTAACCCGGAAGTAGTTGCTCCCAGATGCAAACCTTGCCCTGGGATATGAGCCGAAATCGCGCACTGGAGGCCTGCGTGCAGCGAGAGGCGCCCTTTCGCTAATGGCGCCTCATGTTAAGAACAGTTTCAGGATAAGAATGGACCTCCAGAACGAATTAAGTTGCCAACCGGAGGTGCCACTGTAAACCTATTGAACAACAATGCTATTATAAGTACCTGAGCTTGGGTTTTAATTCATAACTATCCTGGAAGTCACACCTACTCGCAGCTAAATTGAAATCCTCATTCTCTATCCACTCTTTATTACGGTTTTCCAGAGTTCAGGACGGGGGGAGCTTAGTAGCTCCCACAGTTGAGGTATTTCTAAAGAAGATAGTGCCACAATTATTGTACGGTGCAGAGATCTGGGGATATAGGAATCTCCTCCCGTCAGAACTCCTTCCTGAAATCACTGCTGTTTGTCTCCAAAGCTACACCCGCCCCCCTTTTAAGAGCTGAAACAGGGCTAATAATCATAATCTTAATTTATTATTTATTATTTATACCCTGCTCATCTGGCTGGGTTTCCCCAGCCACTCTGGGCGGCTGCCAACCAAAGATTAAAAATACATTAAAACAGTCTCCCTCAACCTCAGCCCTCTAGTTGTTTTTGGCCTACAACTCCCATGATCCCTAGCTAGCAGGACCAGTGGTGAGGGATGTTGGGAATTGTAGTCCAAAACATCTGGAGGGCCGAGGTTGAGGAAGCCTGCATTAAACCATCAGTCATTAAAAACGTCCCTAAACAGGGCTGCCTTCAGATGTCTTCTAAATGTCAGATAGTTGTTTATTTCCTTGACATCTGATGGGAGGGCGTTCCACAGGACGGGCATCACCACCAAGAAGACCCTTCTCCTTACAAACCAGTGTGCATGAAGCTCTAGCCCTATACTGGATGAAACTGGCTAGCATGAGTAATACTAGGCTCCCTTTAAAAAAATGCTTCCTAGAGCAATTGCAATTGCAAACCCACAAGTAGGACTCTGAGTCCTCTCTCTTCCTCTGGCTTCCAGCAGCTGTTGTTCAGAAACACTGTTTCCTCCAACTGATGTTTCTTCTTCCTCGTCTTTCTAGAATTGAAGAACTGGAATGATAATCAATGCAATACTATGAATTACTACATCTGCAAACTCCCGCTGTAAGAATGGGCTTCGGCAATTTCAGCGCTTTGGAGAATGGGACCAAGTTGTAGGTCCTTGTCTTCCACGGTTGCCCAAGTCCACCTGCCTACCCAGCCGTCGCAGCTTGCGAGATCGCTCGTGAGCCAGACTTGCTCTTCTCTGTGTCGAGACATTAATAAAGCGATTCTCCTACACGTCGGCCTCTGTCTCCTTCAAATTGTCCATGGGGATACTAGAGGACTCGTAATGTTTTTGGGGTGGAGAGAAATTACATCACCACAAACAAAACACATACCGTATTGGCCCGGATATAAGCCGCACCCGAATATAAGCCGCACCTTGAAAATTAGAGGGGGTGGGGAGAAAAAAATTAGCTGAATATTATTCGCTCTCTTCCTCGCTGTTCCTGGCTGCATACTGGGCGTGGGGGGTGGAGCGATGCTGTGTTGCTGGTGGCCTTTCCCCTTCCTCACTCTCTCCCATTCCAGAGGGGGGCCTACGCACAGGGTGGGCGCCATTTTGCCACGCTCCTGGCGCTGTTTACCCCATGCTCCTGGCTTCATACAGTAAGGTCGCGAATATAAGCCGCACTTTAACTTTTCATGTTCGGAATTTGGGGGGGAAGTGAGGCTTATATTATGATACAATACAGTGCAATAATCTTTATTGTCATTGTCCCATACAGAACAACGAAATTGAAAAAATCTACATAAGACATTCAAAAACCAGCAAGCCTGCTATCCCAACTATCCCAACCTGGTTAGCCCCCTAAAAACTCTGATGCCCCATTTTTAAATACAATATACTCCCATAGAGACTACCTTACACTGCGTTTAAAACAAAAATCACATTTGGATAGGAAGTGTTTCTCAGGCGGCTAGTCCTAGTCTTTATAACCCTGGACCTTCTTCCAGAAGGCAGAAGCTGAAAGAGATCATTTCCAGGGTGTGCACTTTCCCGCGCTATCTCTGCAGCTTTCTTATGACACCTGGAAGTGTAGATTTGATCCAAGGTGGGAAGAGTGCACCCAGTTATTCTCTCCGCAGTCTTCACAACCCTGGACAGCATTGTTTTTCCCCTGGCCGTGCAGCTCCCAAACCACACACACTGACCATAATACACTCTCAACGGTACAATGGTAAAATGCCATCGACAGGTCCTTTGAGAGATTGTTTTCCCGGAGGATTCTCAGAAAATATAACCTCTGTAGTGCTCTCTTCATCAGGTCTTTGCTGTTTTCTCCACAGGTTGCATCATCTCTCAACTCCATTCCCAGAAATCGAAACACCGAGACCTGTTCCACACACTTCCCCTCAATAATGAGTGGCTGAATATTCAATTTCATAGAATCATAGAATCATAGAGTTGGAAGAGACCACAAGGGCCATCGAGTCCAACCCCCTGCCAAGCAGGAAACACCATCAGAGCACTCCTGACATATGCTTGTCAAGCCTCTGCTTAAAGACCTCCAAAGAAGGAGACTCCACCACACTCCTTGGCAGCAAATTCCACTGTCGAACAGCTCTTACTGTCAGGAAGTTCTTCCTAATGTTTAGGTGGAATCTTCTTTCTTGTAGTTTGGATCCATTGCTCCGTGTCCGCTTCTCTGGAGCAGCAGAAAACAGCCTTTCTCCCTCCTCTATGTGACATCCTTTTATATATTTGAACATGGCTATCATATCACCCCTTAACCTCCTCTTCTCCAGGCTAAACATGCCCAGCTCCCTTAGCCGTTCCTCATAAGGCATCATTTCCAGGCCTTTGACCATTTTGGTTGCCCTCCTCTGGACACGTTCCAGTTTGTCAGTGTCCTTCTTGAACTGTGGTGCCCAGAACTGGACACAGTACTCCAGGTGAGGTCTGACCAGAGCAGAATACAGTGGCACTATTACTTCCCTTGATCTAGATGCTATACTCCTATTGATGAGGCCCAGAATTGCATTGGCTTTTTTAGCTGCCGCGTCACACTGTTGGCTCATGTCAAGTTTGTGGTCAACCAAGACTCCTAGATCCTTTTCACATGTACTGCTCTCAAGCCAGGTGTCCCCCATCTTGTATTTGTGCCTCTCATTTTTTTTGCCCAAGTGCAATACTTTACATTTCTCCCTGTTAAAATTCATCTTGTTTGTTTTGGCCCAGTTCTCTAATCTGTCAAGGTCGTTTTGAAGTGTGATCCTGTCCTCTGGGGTGTTAGCCACCCCTCCCAGTTTGGTGTCATCTGCAAATTTGATCAGGATGCCCTTGAGTCCATCATCCAAGTCGTTGATAAAGATGTTGAATAAGACCGGGCCCAAGACAGAACCCTGTGGCACCCCACTAGTCACTCTTCTCCAGGATGAAGAGGAACCATTGATGAGCACCCTTTGGGTTCGGTCAGTCAGCCAGTTACAAATCCACTGAGTGGTAGCATAGTCAAGACCGCATTTTACAAGCTTCTTTACAAGAATATCATGGGGCACCTTGTCAAATGCCTTGCTGAAATCAAGGTAGACTACATCCACTGCGTTCCCTTCATCTACCAGGCTTGTAATTCTGTCAAAAAACGAGATCAGGTTAGTCTGACATGACTTATTTTTCAGAAATCCATGCTGACTATTGGTGATCACAGCATTCCTTTCTAGGTGCTCACAGACTGTTTGCTTAATGATCTGCTCCAGAATCTTCCCTGGTATTGATGTCAGACTGACTGGGCGGTAATTATTTGGGTCCTCTCTTTCCCCCTTTTTGAAAATAGGGACAACATTTGCCCTCCTCCAGTCTGCCGGGACTTCGCCTGTTCGCCAGGAATTCTCAAAGATGACTGCCAGTGGTTCTGAAATCACATCTGCCAGTTCTTTTAATACTCTTGGATGCAGTTCATCTGGCCCTGGAGACTTGAATACATCTAGACTAGCCAAGTATTCTTGTACTATCTCCTTAGTTATTCTGGGCTGTGTTTCCTCTGCTGAATCATTTGCTCCAAATTCTTCAGGTCGGGCATTGTTTTCTTTATCGGAGAAGACTGAGGCAAAGAAGGCATTGAGGAGTTCAGCCCTTTCTGTGTCCCCTGTTTGCATTTCACCATCTTCTCC